CGAGGCTTGTCCGTCTGACTGTCTGGAAAGAACCTCTGAATCCTTTGGTTCCACATGTCCAACCACTCATCCTCCGACAACTTTGTGCTCGACTCGACCTGTTCGGGCAGAAAACTTACGATGAATTTACTGTTAAACTGTGCTATAGTTAGTGGTCATTTGCCCATGCAACACCAGGCTGTAATTTGTATCTTGATACCATGTTGACTTGAAGTCATGGAAACTAACATGAGAGGCAGTTCTCAATGATGCCAGATGCATAACTTACAATCAATAAAAACATGAACTTTGCATCTCGGGAACTGCTTTTCTGGACCACTGGAAGAGGCCAAAAGTTCAATTTTGGGAGGACAAAAATTCCATTTTTTTGTCCTCGAAAAAAGCGGCCACGAAGATCGGGGAAGGAGTAGGAGGTCCCGCGCACCAAAATCATCGGGGAAGAGGTAGGATTCCTTCCCCCCTTTAAAACGAATATTAAACCACGGAGGAATTTGGCGGGGTTCTGAGGGTGGAGATCAAAGGAGACGAATAATAAATCAAAAAAAATGATTTTTGCCAGGCCGGGATCGGGGAAGAAGTAGGACGCGCTACCTCAAAAGTATCGGGGAAGAAGTAGGAAACGGATCATCGGGGAAGGAGTAGGAGATCCCATGGTGCCAAAACGATGACTTTTTTGTCCTCCAAAAACTAACCTCCAGGATGATCCTCCAGGCTTCAAAATCGGTCAACTTTGAAAATTGAATTCAGGATAGTAGCACACAGAACTGTAGTTCTTAATTGTGGCAATATAATAGAGGACGGTGTCATAGAGGCAAAGAACTTAAGTGAATCAAATCACGAAACTAAGCCTGCTGCTTAGTTACTTCCTACTGCCCTCCCGACCTGGCCTGTTGAGGTAGCACTGCGCCCAACCTCTTCTCTGGTGCATAAGCGACCACATTTAGCCAATCCTCCGACCCAACGTGCACAGCATCAGCAACGACCGACAAAATTGACAGTCCCCTGAATTGCCCGGCTGCTGCGTTCAAATAGCTAAACCGTTCACACTCCTGGTAGCGGAGACCACTTTGGGCAGATGCTTTCCTGCGTCTCTTGCTGGCCTGCTCGTCCTGTGGGTCCGACGCTGAACAGAACTGGACCTGCCCTTGAACAGCCGATGAAAGCTTGCCACTGGAGGCAGCTTCTTTCACCATTGCCTCCTTGTAGCTGTGGGATGCCCGCCTGTATCCCTTTTGCGTCCTGCCAGCAATGCATTCTACTATTGGGCAAGCAGGTGTTGTCAGTATTAAACAGCCTGTCACTTCTGTGAAAAGGACGCAACCAACATGAGAATATGACGAAGTTCAATTGGAAATTGTCTGTGTCTTTGGATGCTGGATGATAGTAGTAAATATTGAATATATATATGTTTTGGCAAAATTAATTTTCATAGCGATGAAACTCCAACAGGTAACTTGAACACTCTCTGTGGAACACATCACAATATTTTGCTGACTGTGCCTGAGTTGCTCAAGCTGCTTCACCGAAACCAAGTTCCACACTGGATGCCCGGCCCGATCTCCAGTGTCAGCTGTACAGGCCAAGAGTTCTAAGAACCTGGCAATGCAAAGAGAACTGCCATCTTTCCGGCCCTTACCAAAGTTCCTGCTGACCTCATCATTTGCAAGTGATGACAGCATGTCCGACGCATTGACATATTGTCCGTCGCCCAGGTCCGACAAAGATTTGGAGAGGTTCTTGCTCGACCGTGTCAATGCATTCTTGTCAACCTTGCCGTCCGACCATGTAAAATTGAGCCCCTCAGGGGTGGTCCAAGTGCCCTGCCTGCAAAGAAATGCTTTGGAGAAAGCATTCAGCAGTCCTGCACACCGTTCTTGCACGTCCTCATGTGGCAGGTTCCACTTCTGTGTGGCTTTGATCGCACGAGCCCATTGTGCAACAATCACGAGAAAAGCAAAAGAACTGCCGCAGAACTCTTGGCACGGCTCTGGTCCGTCCTCCTTACTATTACCTGCGTTGTCCCTTTTTCCTGCCCGAAACTTGGCCCACGAGCTGTGCAACAAATGCTTCTCAGCCTCTGCCTGTGGGCCGTCCTCATCATTTTTGTCCGGCAATAACCACATAATCCTGCTCTCTATGCGGTTGAGGAAGGAATCCGTCACCTGGCCCCAAAAGTTTGCAATTGGGCTTCCACCCAAATAGTCCAACAGCCATTTCAAGTGCCAATACCTCCGTCCCCCGGCGATGTCCGACTTGCACGGCGTAAACTCGTACAGCTCACAACGGAACCGGCCATGATCACAGATAAGCTCTGCTGCAAAGGACTTCCGGCAAGGACGGCCCAACGTGGAGCTGTCATCTGTCCCACCAGAAGAAGAAGCTGCTGCCATAAGCCCAACAAATTAGACTAGATGCTAAGTCACTAGCATAAATGATTGTTCATGGCTTCAACGTAGTAGGGGTGCATCATATGGCTTCAGACTTAATTAGGAAGGCTGTTCATAATTCCCAAACCACCAATGAAGAATTAAGCAACCTGATTTAAATGTATAATGCAATTTAACTCTTGCATCTGCGGGACTCTCAGTGGAAGCAAGAGTTGCAACTGCTCAAGCTCCAAGTGTCCAAATGGACCAATATGACATAAAACATCATAAAACCAAAAAAAAATGTGAATATGAATGAATGAATGAATGTGTGTGTGTGTGTCAAAAACATAGATATAATGAACTGTCCCTGCAATTTGTCAGTACGTACTTGTGCCTTCTGAATGCAAACAGTTGGAAGCGGCCTTTTGTTGCACTGCTCGCCCGACCAGCCTGCCCTGTGCACTACCGCTAATTGAACCGGCCTGTGGTCCGACAGCCAGTGACTTCAGTCCGGCAGGTCCAACAGGTCCGGCTCACTGAACAGAATTAAAAGCTCTGCTAAAAAACCTATCTTGTAGGACGTGAAGTTCGACCGGCTCAAGTCGAAGGCCATAAGCATTGAATTTGACGTTATCTCCTTGGTTGGTCTACAATCAAACCGTAAGCAAGGCCAAGGCCCGGCATCTTTGCATACCCCAAGAAATAAAAACACCTTCAGAAAAATTAACACTGACATGATCTGAACCACCAAAAACCAATTGAACCCAAAGCACTGCAGTCCAAAGCAAATCCTGAATTTATAGTGAAGCACGCCCTGTAGAGTCCACCCTTGTAGAAACACCCAAGTGTAATGACCGGCTCTTGAGCATAGGCGGCCTCAATGTACTCCAGCATGAGTTGACCAGGCATAGTAAAGCCCATCTCCACCGCCCCGCAAGTGCATCCAGACCGGCCAACGATACCCTGCTCCAAGTCCACCTGCAACGCATCATGTTCACTTCCAGCTCGGCCATTAAAAAATCCCACGTGGTCCTGGGCACCAAGCATGGCAGCGCGCAAACAACAAGCAATAGTGAACACTGGAAACCTGAACGGCTGAACAGCTGACAGAAAACATAATAATGATGCGCTTTCAAGTTGATCAAACAAACAAAGTGACCTCGAGGGCGTTTCACATGTGCAACCAAAGGTTCTTGAGAAAAGGGTGTTCCTGGCAATGTTCGTTCTCAACAACAAAGCAGCCTCTCCCAAAGTACCTGAAATTGCTTCGATTGCTCAGAGCAGCTTGCAATTCACTAAAGCAAAATAAAAACATTGAACAATGCTAAGAGAATTGGGTAAGACGAGCTGCGGCCTGTAGATCTCAGGCACGGCATCATGAGTCTCCGACAATGTTGTAAGGAAAGTCAAACACCTGGACGAAAAAGGACTCAGCTGAAGAGAAGTAATACAGCAGTAACACTGTGGCGTTGACAAACCAAAAATAGATAATATTAATCTATGACTACTGTCATATTAATCTATGGCAGTGTCAGACTGTCAGCGCCAATGCAGTCGAACTACAGTGTCTCATCCGACATGAGTTTTGTCACATCTTCAAGGGAGTAGTTGCCCAGGCCAGCTTCATAGAAGTAAGCGTGAATCAGGTCCGCCGTAAACACAAGTGTCGCCATGACGTAGGTGGTAGCACCGGACTATGACTCAATGACCGACCTACTAGACGGTACTACGACCGACCAGAAAATATGAAACGCTGGGCAGCAGAAATCTGAACTGAATCTGTGGTGTTCAATGAGCAACTGAGCAAAATCACATGTCAATGTTTGCAGGGCTAGGTTGACTTGATTGATTGGTTGACTGATTGCTTGCTAGCTTTGCTTGCTTGCTTGCTTGCTTGCTTAGCTTGCTTGCTTGCTTTATTGATTGATTCATTGATTGATTGATTGATGGAATCGGAATGTCTGATTTACTAACTCACAGAATTCAGAATTATTAAAATATGGCGACAGGTCAATGAATCAAAAAGTCAAACGTGCTTCATATTTCAAGCCGAGAAAAAACAAACACACATGCCTGCAAGGCCAGGCATTAGATTGGCATCATACACTTCATTGATTGAGTGTCAGAGGTTTCCATCATCTAGATTACAATGGACGTCTTTGCAGACTCAAAACATCAAACAACTGACTGTAGCTAACTGTGAAGTCTCTGCAGGCAAGACAGGCTCGGAATGCATGATTCATTGTTTTTGCGCACGGCCTGACCGACGGAAATTGAAATGCCCAATCTACAAACAAGTGAAGTCCTAAAATGAATTCAGCCTGGCCATCAGATCATTGATCAGTGACGCTGAGAGCACTTTGCAAATTTGACCAGGATTGGTAATTCACTACTTCATTTGACTTGACCGAAAGGGCAGCCCATGATCTGATGGTAACCCTGGCCCAGGGAACCGTCCAGCCAACATCACAAAAGGACCGGCCTTTAAAATGATTGAACTACAGTAATCATGAAGCAACTCCTGCCCAATTCACTATTAATGCTGCCCACCTGGCCATTGTCATAAATTAGGCGCGACATTGGTCCGTCATTTCCGACCGGCCAAGTCCGTCCGTCAGTCTGTGAATTGACCTACGATTGAGGTGACGCTGTCGATGGTGAACCCTTCAATGCTCCCGCCGGCTTTACCGGAGTCTGAACGACCGTTGGTGCGCCGCCAGTCTCTGTGAGAGCTGACGTCGACAAAATATCTTCTGCTGCTTCATTGTCCGGCTCATCCCAGGTAGATTCATAGTCCGGCAGCTCACGTGATGACTCATCAGAAAAGAAGTCCCAGCACAAGAAGTCATACAAATTTGGTTTCAATTCACTCCTGACCCGGCAACTTGGGGAGGCGCGGTCCGACAAGATCCACCGGTCGCCCTTGGCCAATGGTAGGAGCTCATACTCCAACCCATCCTCCTCCGTCTTGGCCAGGGCACAGCAGCACAGAGTATTCCCAGTGACCGACCAAATGTGCAAGTCCATGTTTGCTTTCAGAGGCTCCTTGCTGTTGAGCAAGTTCAAGTAGTTGACACCAAGGGATTCAACCCGAAGTTTTGCAAACCTCTCTAATGTGGAGACCTGCCGAATATCAGTCCTTTTTAAAGGGATCTTTGGCCCTGCTCCGACCCAGAACTGCACTTGGAACGCCCTCTTGACAAAGTCATCGGTGCGGAGGTCCGGCTGGAGACTGAGTCCGGTGGCCTCAATCATGGCCACCTTCATCTCCAATGGCAGCTGCAGCCATGTCTTTGCCCGACCTTTCCACTTTGGTCCGACTGATGATGCGTTTTCCTCATCAAAGTTGTCCTTCAAAATGCCGTTCAATGCGCCCGACCTAATAAGCCCGGCCAATGGCTGAATCCAGCGAGGATTGTCCTGCAACGTGTCCGTCACAAATTGAAAGTCCTGCTCCAAAAGGCTGGCCTGTGAACCCCGCACGGCCGAGGCAAACCGCGCCTCATTCTTCTGCCTCGCTTTCTGCTCCTTCACTGTCCTGCGCTCCTTTTGCCTCTTTGTCGGACCACGTGGAGCATTGGACTTCCGGACCATTGCGCACGACCAAAAAAGTCCGACGGCTGTGAGTGAAGGCAAGGTGCTTAAGAGGTCACTGCACTTCAAGCAAAAATGATAGAATTCAATTTTGTAACATGCAATCCTTCCCTGTGTCAAGCAACTTGCAAGTCAACAAATGCCAGTAGGCGATGCAACAAATCCAAATGAACATGTGCCCAAACAAACCAGCTTTGTGAGGTTGGACCAAGGGCCACACTTTGTCCGACCAAAAGCCGCTGCCATGTCCTCCAGCAAGTCAATATATTTATGGATCAGACCCATTCATTTGCTAGTGCAGTGCATATATGATATGACATCTATGTGTTATCAGCAGCGATGATCAGTGACAATCAGAGAGTGCATTGTGGAGTGGCGGTGTTGGTGACAAGTCGATTTGGTGCCACAAATTGCCAATAGGAGTGGTATGTAAGCACAGGAAAAAGTCCAACAGGTCTGCCACTTGCCTCCGCCGTGAAGAAATGCATCGTCCGGCCAGGTCAGTCCTGGAGTCAGATGTTGTTCCATTCCAATTGACTTTGGAAATGCCATGTGAATCTTCAAGCCATAAACCAGCTGAATGTGTTTGGAAAAGAACTTTGTATATAGGGCACTGTCTGAAGTGAAATTAGAACACAGTTCAATACTCTAAGGTCGCTGAACAAGATTGATTAAAACAAGTGTGGTTGCACCGACCCTGTCACAGTCACACGGTCATGACTTCTGATTCTCTGCGTTGTATCACTTGATGGTTGAGAACGCAGCTCAAGAAAAAAGAGCTAAAGCTTTAATACCAACAAAACAAAAGACTTCAACCAAACTGACCTCAAGCAGCCATGTCACATTTCTGTCATAAAAAACCTGACCGCAAACTGTGCAGCTGACTAATAGCTAACGCTACATTGACACAATGAGCCCAAACATGTGTGTGTGTCACTTGACTTGTCTAATCCTTGAAGTCAGTTCTTGATGTTACAGATCTCAATCCATTGAATTGTTACTTGCTGGAGGTGAGCGCCAATTTTTTGAGATGCCATGAATGTCAGTGCCCCAAACAGCCGAGGCACATTAAGAGAAGAAACACTTGGACAGTTTACCGATGAATAGTTGACATGAACAAATGCAACCATTATGAAGCTCGCTTCACCTTTCTTTTGGAATAGCCATGGCATTTGGAAATGCAAATACAACTGTGACAAAAACCTGAGACTCGAGTCACACCTTAGACGCCTGACACGTTAAAGGTGCCCACCCGCCGCAGAGCTGTGCCTCAAGCTACCACTGGCCCAGCGCACCTGGCATTTGTGAAGGACTGCCGGGAATTGGATTGAACATGATGACCACCAACACCCAAAATAACAGGCTGAGAGAGCTGTTCAATGAGCTGATCCTATCATCGCGAAACTGAAAGTGCACTGAATACTACTGAGAAAGTACATGCACCAGACTCCGTCCGACTTTGAGATTTCAAGACCTGATTGTGCACTCTGCCCTCCACGGTTGTCATGCACTGTTTTTTAAATTCATCTGACATGCAATGTGCTTTGGTCGGACAGCGCCCTTTTGGACAAAGTACGTCCTTAAATTGTGCGCTTGCAGTCCGACCAAATTCAATCAGTCCAACCAAATTCAATTATAAAATGTCCGACAAAATGAATCGGACAGACCTACGGCGCGCCCTTATTCTGGTACGGCCACGGGTACACCGCTGGCTGCGAGGGCGCGCCCCCTGAACGACTTGCCTTGCACAGGGCCGCCCTGGCCCTTGCCCGGCTTCCCGCCGCTGGCGTCCGACTGGTGAGGAAGGTCCTGCCAAGAGTTCTGACCCGCCGACCACTCTGAAGCGGCAGAGTCATAGCCCGCCGGCCCCCATTGGAATCCACCAGCGCTGCTGGATGCGCCCGACGATGCAAGTTGGCCGGCATTGTAACGTGCCTGACACAATCCAGGAAGTGCTACTCACTCCGATCACGTTAAAATAACGACTAAACTAAAAAGTCTGTCTGTGCAACTAGAAGGAACAACGTAAGAAAATTACTAACCCATCAGTCCAAATTGCCCAGGCAGGATCAACAGCACCCTTGCCGGACGTGTGCCAGGGTGCTGGAGGATGATCAGGACGACCTGCAACTCAAATTCTATTAAAACTTGTCAAATTACACTGACTGATATATGATTGCCTCGTTAAAAAAACACAATTCAATAGTTGGAACATCTGACCACTGACATGATTTGAACTTGACTTTGACCCAGTCCCAGCCTGGCTCCGACCAATAGTAGTCCGACCCTTGGGCGGACTGAGCGGCCTGGGCCGTGGCCTTGGCAGCGGCATTGGCCAACTCAAGCTCCTTCAGTTTGACCTGAAGCTCGAGCTTGCGGATCTCCTTGTCCTTGTCCTGCTCAGCTGCAGCAGCAGAGTCCGTCCCAGCACGATGCACGGCCAAACTTTCCACCGGCCGCGCAGTCGGCCCCGGCGGCACAGGCACATCCTCCGCCCTCAGTGAGCCCCGTCCACGGACTGTCCGACCAGCAGAGTCCTTGCGCGCGGCCTTCATTGATGGCCCTGGCATTTTGTTGCCGCCAATCCCCTTGCCGCAGCCGCCCGACGACGTGTCCGACAAGGCCAAGGTCTGAGGCGCTGCAGTAGGCTGGACCGGCATGGCCTTGGGCAGCACGACCTTCTGACGAGGGTGAACTCCCAAGTGCGGCGGAGCCTCTTCCTCCTCCTCCTCCTCCTGATGAGGTTGGTCCGTCCCGAGCTCCGGCACTTCCAGTGGGAGGTCTGCGGCGTCATGTCCGGCCAACTCAACATCCTGCTCAACCTCTCCTTCTCCAAGTCCGACCTCTGCAAAGGCTTCGCCGGCGGACTGCTCGACCTCCTTCTTGACCGCCTTCCTGCCATCCTCCCTGACTTCAGCCTCCGGCCTTGGTGCTTCCTCCTTCCGACGTTCCTCCTCCTCCTCCTCCTCTTGGGCATCCGCCCAGCCACGACCTTGCAGCCTCAGGTTGATCGGCTTGGGCACGGCTGCCGGATCGGCTGCGGAGTCCGGCCTCAGCTGCTTGGCAGAAGCAGCAAGTCCTTCCTCGCCCGGCCTCTTCCTCCCACTGGAGTGAATCCTCGTGGCCGACCCGCTGCCCGACGATGGCTGCTCCAACTCGAAGACCTCCTCCGACACCTCCGACCCCGAGGATTTGTCAGCCTTGGGAGCAAAAGGATCCCGCTTGCCACCCTTGACAATGTCCTTGCCACGGCCCTTGCCCTTGTCCTTGCTGCCCTTCCCCTTCAGCCTGCCCTTCCACTCCCCGTAATTGTTGAGCTCCCCCTGCTCCGAATCCTGCTCGGCCTGCAGCCGCATCTCCTCCCAGCACTGCCGTTCATGCTCTGTGAATTCGAGCTTGATCTGCTTGCCAAAGTCTCGTCCGGCCAGTATGTCCTTGAGCTTGATTCGGTACTTCCTGTCCGGAAAGGTCTGCGCGTCCTCTGGAACGTCCAATTTGTCCAGCCTCATGTGCGTTGCCAACTTGTAGGCCATGAATTCCTCGTCGTCGCCTCAGTTTGTCAAAGCATCCAATGTGCATGAAACAATCAACTAACTACTGAATGCAATTAAAACAAAATAAAAATAACAAAACTTAACGGTTAAATCAGGTCGAGTTGCTTCTTGGGTGCATTGCACGCATTGCTTTCATCCGCAATGCTTTCCCAAAGCCCGACTTAAAGTCCCTCCAACTTGGATTTGGTCCGGCCTCACCTTAGCTTCAGTCAATCAAAGACTCTCTTTGCGACAGCGTTTGTAATAAAATAGAAATCAAAATCAATTTCATCTGTGAAAACACAGGCTAACAATTACAAATAAGTTATGTATATGTGTTAGAATCTTGATGTATCAGCCATCAAAACTATACAATTTAGTTTGGCGGTTTGGCGTTTCAATGTCAAAAGTACTCAAATACTTACATCAAACAAACCAGTTGAAATTATTCAAGCCACGGACAACCGTTGTAGTAAGGTCCGCCGCAATATGTCGACCATAAGGGCTTGCCCCGGCAATGTTGGCCATTGCCTTACTGATCAAAACTGGACCTGCAACAGGCCGCCTGTTGACCAAAAAAACGTTGATATGATGATGAATCTACAGGCTGGGGCTGGTCGAGGGAAAAAATCATAGAAACATAATTGCAATGCAGGAAAGATGCAATCCAATGGTAGTCGTCCGTCGGCAACTTCGGGTCCGACAATGCTGCTGCAGCTGCTGGATGCTGGTCGTGAAGGTATGCGCGTGCCTGAGAGAAGCAAAGATTATGGAATACAGAAGCAAAGATTATAGAACAATTGCGAGAACCATAGAAAAGCACAAAGACACAAGTTAGTAAAAAATAAAAAATAAAGATCAATCTATATCAAATCGAGGGGCCCGAACGAGAGATTGTCGCCGAAACTCTGCCTTCTGCAGGCTTGGCGGTCCGACCTTTCTTTGTGGCATCTCCGGCTGCTGCTGGGCACGACGGACAGGAATGTTCCGATTGACCAAAGGTCCGGCCATTCCAAAATTGGCCAGCTCAATCAAAGGGTTGAGCTTTTGAGTGACTACCTCCACTGGCAACTGGACCGACCACCATTCCAGCTCAGGGCCTAAGCCACTGTACGTCAGGAATGCCACAGGCACCTTCAGGACCGCCGCAAGAGTCGTCCCCAAAATGGCCGACCTGTGCTTGCCCTGCGTGCCTCAGTCACAGGTTTTGAAGTGTGACCAACTGTAATCTATCAATTCAGGTATTTGTTTGTCTCAACTACCTTAGGATTACTAACTAAGCACATCAGAACGCACAAAAACCACATTGAGAGCAGTTTGTCAGCCAATACAAGAACTCAACATTCCAATTCCTCACAACGACGCTATTGTACCAGGCTGCAATAAAGTCCGACGTAAATCGAGTGGTCCGGCATGTCCCTTGGACCGACCCGCTGGTAGCCCATCAACATAGCGTAGAGGGTTTTG